TTTCCATTAAATATTTAATGGACACCAGGATTTAAACCTGGTGTCTCCTGATTTCAATGAAGTTTGTCTCTATTCTGGGGTGCATACCCTGACACAGCATCTACACACCACGTCTTCTACAGTCCCCCACACTCCCAACACTAGTGCTTCTATCACTAATACAGAAAACGGAACCCCAACCACTGTTGACCAGCACATTCTATCCCAACCTTCCCCTGACGAAACCTTTCCTCACCCTGCATCTGCCTCTCCCTCCAATGATCCGGTCTCACATCCCACCGACCTAGCCTCTCATTTTATTGCCTCTTCCTCTCAAACCACTGACCTCTCCTCTCTCCTTACTAAACCCACCATCGGTATCCCTTCCACTGCCACTCCTGCAACAAATTCCACTCTGACATCTGACTTCTCTAGACCCTACTCCTCCACCCTCAGCCACGAACTCTGGACTTGGCAAAGGATTTCGCATCTTGCAAGACAAAAAGCGCTCTTCCGTTCCTATCTTCAGTAAGACCCCTTCCAATACACCCTGCAGTTTATATGCCGGTAACTAAGCCATCCGTCAACCTGGTGGTTATTCTGTTTTTGCTCGCACTCCACACAGCTCAAAACCTCCCATAAAGATCATACATTTCAATGTACGAGTATTCTTCGCCAGTAGACACAGGGTGTCTGATTTTATTGAGACTGAACGTCCTGATGTGCTGCTGCTTAACAGAACATTAATCACGAACTCATATATAAAATCAGACACGTTGGCGACTCATCCTACCAGTCACCTGATGAAGCACATGAAGGTGTTGCCATGCTTATAAAATCTTATAAACATGAACTACACTCTCCCTGACTTCACAAACATTTTCTAGCCATAAAAGTCCACACTCATATGGGCCCTTGAGGTTACCTTGAGGTTACATTGAGGTGCTTCCGGGGCTTAGCGTCCCAGCGGCCCGGTCGTCGACCAGGCCTCCTGGTTGCTGGACTGATCAACCAGGCTGTTGGACGCGGCTGCTCGCAGCCTGACGTATGAGTCACAGCCTGGTTGATCAGGTATCTGTGTAATAGTGGCTTTAGGCATTGTATGTACTAGCCCTATCTATAAATCCATCACTCTTTGTAAAATCTCTTGTATGTATGTACCTTACCTAAATAAACATTTGATTTGATTTGATTTGTATCCTTTGGAGGTGCTTATCCAGTTCTCTCTTGAACGCTGTGAGGGATCGGCCAGTTATGTCCCTTATGTGTAGTGGAAGCGTGTTGAACAGTCTCGAGCCTCTGATGTTGATAGTTCTCTCTTGAACACTGTGAGGGGTCGGCCAGTTATGCCCCTTATGTGTAGTGGAAGCGTGTTGAACAGTCTCGGGCCTCTGATGTTGATAGTTCTCTCTTGAACACTGTGAGGGGTCGGCCAGTTATGCCCCTTATGTGTAGTGGAAGCGTGTTGAACAGTCTCGGGCCTCTGATGTTGATAGTTCTCTCTTGAACACTGTGAGGGGTCGGCCAGTTATGCCCCTTATGTGTAGTGGAAGCGTGTTGAACAGTCTCGGGCCTCTGATGTTGATAGAGTTCTCTCTCAGAGTATCTGTTGCACCTCCGCTTTTCAACGGGGGTATTCTGCACATCCTGCCATGTCTTCTGGTCTCATGTGATGTTATTTCTGTGTGCAGGTTTGGGACCAGCCCCTCTAATATTTTCCACGTGTAAATTATTATGTATCTCTCCCGCCTGCGCTCAAGGGAGAACAGATTTAGGCTCTTTAGTCGGTCCCAATAGTTTAGGTGTTTTACTGAGTGGATTCTAGCAGTAAAGGATCTCTGCACACTCTCCAGGTCAGCAATTTCTCCAGCTTTGAAAGGGGCTGTCATTGTGCAGCAGTACTCCACTCTAGAGAGCACAAGCGTTTTGAAAAGTGTCATCATCGGTATAGCATCTCTAGTGTGAAAAGTTCTTGTTATCCAACCTGTCATTTTTCTTGCACTCTCATCATCTGCAAACTACATCCGTCTTAACACCGGCATCCCCATGCAAGACAGCAACACTCTCTTCAATCACACTCACTTGCCTGTTTTCTTGCCTGCAGATCTCAATGCACAACATCCCACCAGAATACCACAAATCAACATAGACAACAGCTTCATTAACTATACCTTCAAAAAACATCTGTTCTTCCTTGGCCCTGACTTCCCCACTTCTTTCACACTTGCTGGTTCTGGCAGACCTGATCTCATATTCACCAACAGACACGGCAACAACCTCCAACACTATGTTTCTCCGGGACTCATTACGGGCTTTGATCATATTCCCTTAACTCTCACAGTCTCCAATAATCCTATTCTCATCCCATTGTTTCAATGAGATTCGCCCTGTCATGCCTGGTTTGCAGTGTTGTTAGCCTTGTGGTCCTCAACCGTTCCTGATACAAGAGTTGATTTAGCTCTGTAATGACTTTTGTTGCCCGGTGTTGCACTTTTTCCAGAGCAGCTATGTCCTTCTGAAGATGAGATCTCCTTGCAGTAGTCCAAATGTGAGCGCACCAGAGATTTTTATAATCGAATCACTGCCTTCTTTTCTTTAAGGTCAGAGGTACACTTGATTATTCCAAGTGTTTGGTTAGCTTTTTTTACCTGTTGTGTAACTTTTAGTGAATGAAAATGAACATCATTGAAGTGTAAATCGAATCTTATGTGCGAAAATGTGCTAAGTGGGGTACCACAGGGGTCCATTTTGGGGCCAACCCTTTTTGTTATATACATCAATGACAGATGATAATAATACAAACCACATCATCAAATTTGCAGATGACACTAATTTCTATGGTAAAGTGGGAAGTGAAAGTGATATTGAGACCTTACAAAGAGTTCTACATGAACTCCACAAATGGTCAGATGACTGGCAAATGCTTTTTACTGTCGATAAATGCAAGACCTTGCATGTGGGGCACAACAATCCACGTTACAACTACCAAACTGCCAGCACTACCTTACAACAGATAGATGAAGAAAAGGACCTTGGAGTCAAAATCCATCATTCACTAAAAATTGCACAAGTAAGGGCGGCAGTAAAAAAAAAGTGAACCAACCCCTGGGAATAATCAAGGTGTACCTGATTTACACCCTTTACCTTTACTTTACCTTCAAGGAAAGTAGTCGTTCAGTCGTAATAAGGCAAATAAGACACTGCGATTTATTAATCGAAGCGTTATTAACAAGACACCTGGTATTGCTCTTCAGCTATTCAATTCAATTTGTTTCAAGGTTATCTGACATACAACATCAACAAGAGCTTTGTCCGTGGCTCTCTTCGCTATCTCATCAACTACCTCAATCAACAGTATTCCCACATGTGAAGGGATCCACATGAATCTTACTTTATACCCAGTTTTTTCTAATTTCTTAACATTCTCTCTACACTCTTATCACAATATTCTGGTAAACTGGGCGTCTGCTATTTAAGGACTCTAACGCTCCTCTACTGTCAATAAAGAAGCAGGCATTTTCACTTTCTAGTGTGTGGTTTGGTCAACACCTGGTTTTGTTTTTCAGCTATACCTTGCTCTGGTTAGGCTCCATTTAGATTATGCAGTTCAGTTTTGGTCGCCGTACTATAGAATGTATATAAATTCACTTGAACGTGTCCAGCGTAGGATGAGAAAGTTAATCCCCCCAAATTAGAAACATGTTAATGAAAAAAGATTAATAAAGCTTAAATTGCATTCACAGGAAGTTCAAGTTCAAGTTCAAGTATGTTTATTGAGATAAGCAAGAAATACATCTCAAAGGGATAGAGTAGCTTAGGCTATTTCTACCCCCCTCTACTTCAAGTCCCTCAAGGGGCGCACAAATTCAGTGAGTACAAATAGACAATTAACATTACAAGTTAGGGGTGACATGATAGAGGTTTACAAGTGGATGGATGGACATAACAAAGGGGATATTAAAAGTATCAACACAAGACATAACACGAAACAATAGGTATAAATTGGATAAGTTTAGATTTAGGAAAGACCTGGGTAAATACTGGTTCGGTAACAGGGTTGTTGATTTGTGGAACCAATTACCGTGTAACGTGGCGGAGGTGGGATCCCTTGATTGTTTCAAATGTGGGTTGAACATGTATCCAACAATACGGAGGACGTCGATCCTGACAATTTCCTCAGAAGGTCGGATGTAACACGAACGAGGAGCAACGGGTTCAAGCTCAACAAGCCACAATGTAAGACCGTTTTTTTTTTTTTTTAGTTTAGTTCATTTATTATGCACCCCATAACCATCTTGTGGGCGGTAGTGGAAAGGGTTACAGAGGCACATCATGGGCTCAGGGACTGAATTCCACAATTCATTTAGTTAAGCAAGTTACAATCTTGATGAGTTTGGAGTTTGAAGACCATAGGACTGGTAAGTCGGGAACAGAATGATGGGTTAGGATGTAGGAAAACTTGAAAAGGATTAGGATGTAAATTCAGTATAAGTCGTCACATCATCAATGGGTTCGAGATCAACCACAAGTACAGGTTCTAAATTAAGCAACTGACATATGTGGAGAGCTAGTGTCACAATTGATATGTTTGTCCTGCACACCGCCTCCCATCCAGTGGGCAGCAATGTAGGACAGAAAACAAAAGATGTTTTTTCCACCCATCGGGTTGTAAGCCCGTGGAACCACTTACCCGTCGAAGCCGGAAACGCCAAAACTCTGTTGGGTTTTAAAATACAGCTGGAAAAGATGGAGGAACCTTTAACAAGCCACCGGCTTCATGTCTTCATAGAGGCTACTTGCATTAGTGGCCCCTCAGGTAAATTATTTAAGAAATACTTAAACACTAAATCGTGTTCTGTATTATTTTAAATAAAAATATTATTGTTGTTGTTGTTATTATTACCATTATAATTATTATAATTCATACTGTTATTATTACTATTATTACTATAATTATTATTATTATATATATTTGTATTATTATTATTAATTATAATTAATATTATAGTGGTGTAGTGTAGAGGGCGCAGCAGCCAATCAGCGGCCAGCCTCACCCACCAATCACATTCGAAGACACAAGCGGGGCAAATATGGCGGGCAATAAGCAGGAAAACAAGAATTGTATCACGTTGAAAGGCTCTGCCCAACTCGTGTCAGAGTTCTTCTGTGAGTACCACATTGTAAAGTTTTCTGCGCACCTCTCGCCAGCTGAAGTTAGGCGTGATGTAGAGTGGCAGCCATCACAGCGGCACTGGTCTGGGAGTGACACCGGCCTCTTAGTTCCCTCAGCGAAAATAAGAGGAAAAACTTTATTTTAATTAGATGTCCATATACTTTCTCTTAGTGAAGTGTGTGTGTGTGTGTATAGTTACCTGGGTGTAGTTACAGGATGAGAGGTACCCTCGTGGTGTCCCGTCTTCCCAGTACTGTCATATGATACTGTGCAGCTGCCTGGCTGGACCATAACACACGGGGTACACGGACAAGGGGACACATAATTCATTGTGTCGGGGGACAGGAAGCCAGAGTGTATTCATACACGTTGGGCTGATATTGAGTTGTACCCCCAAGGTCGAATTACTTAGCCCGTCCAGGATGCAACCACACAAGAAGCTGACTCCTGAGTACCTACTGACTGCTAGGTGAACAGAGGCATTAGGTGAATGGAAATGTGTTCAGCCATTTGTGTCCCGCCTGGATTCGAACCAGGAATTCTTGATTGTGCTTCGAGAACGAACCCAACTGCATTACCCGGACCCTTAATTGAGTCCCGGCAGTTGATTGACAGTTGTGAGGCGGGACAAAGGGCCAAAGCTCGACCCCCGCCGGCACCACTAGATGAGTGCCCAACTTGTTCCAACCGTCTACCACTGTGAAAGTGAAGTGAACTTTCTAATGTTTTTCAGCAGCTTTGTGTAGTAGTTTGAGTCTATGACCTCTTGTTCTTTTAGTTCCAGGTCTTGGGAGTTCTTCCCTATCAACTTTATAGACTCCCATTACTATTGTGCATGTGGTGATCATTTCGCCTTTTTTTTTTTTTCTTCTATCTTCTAGTTTTGACATTTAATACCTCTCCTTGTAGCTCTTGTCCTTCAGGTCCAGAAGCCAATTAGGTTACTTGAGTTTACCTGAGAGCCACTAACAGTAGTGGCTTTGACGAGGACAGGAAGCCGTCGGCTTGTCGAAGGTCCCCCCATTTGCCTTGGCCGTTTTCAGCTGTTCTCTAAAAGTACAGCTGGACTGATTGATTGCTTAGGTGCATCTTGTCCAGTTTGTCGATGTGTTTCTTGGGATTCTGGTACAATGTACCTTTTACTTTATCAGTTAGATTAAGAACTTGTCTGAAATGCTATGCATGTTAGTGGCTTAGCATGAATGTAACACTCAAATACAAATGTTATGTTCTCTCACAACCCAATGTACATTCTTGCATATCAACAAGTAATTAAAAATAAATATTCCAGTCACAGTATGTTATAATTTTGTTCTCGCTAAAGCTGTGAACAATTTTTTCAATATTTTACTATCTATCTACTGTTCTTAAGTGATGATGAAATTGGATTGTGTAGCATAGGCTCCTCGTACAATCTTCTTTGTGGTCATCAGATGAGTCTCCTATCTAGAATTGCCCCGGGATCTATCAAAATTCTTTAAAAGCTTTTCACAATTTATAGATTTTGTGTGACCTATTTTCTCTTGTTCTACACTCCATAACATGGCATTTATTCACGTTAAATTCCGTTGACCAAGCTTTGCTCTATACACACACTTTACTGTCCAGGTCCTCTTGAAGGGCATGTCAATAGTGTAAGTTTCTCGTCTTCCCCAGTATCTTGGCATCATCTGCAAAGATGTTCATATAATTCTATATTCCTTCTGATAATTGTTTACTTATACAGTGAACATGTACTAGAACTGAACCCCGTGGTTCAGGTTCACTAGTAAAATTTCTTTAGTCTGATACATTGCCTGTAATTACTGCCCTCATTTTAGTCAGAAAATTTTTCGGCAGTCAGCTTGCCACTCCTCCAGTATGTTCATTTCCAGAACAGCCTCTCGTGTGGGACTGTCAAAAGCACACTTTTTTATTTTTTATTTTTTTTTATTTTTTTTTTTTAATACAGTACAGTAGTTCTTGGGTCTTTATGGCTCATCTGGGTACTCGGTTTCCACCTGTGTCCTCTTATGCATGTACCATCTGTGTTAAATAAACTCGTCTTCCCTATCAATTCCTCTGAAAATCTTGTATGTGGTGATCATGTCTCCCCTAACTCTTGTCTTTCAGCGATGTGAGGTTTAGTTCCCGTAGTCTCGTAATACCCGTACATTTTTTATACTAAAATACTTGCCACCTTAACCACTGCACTGCGCCAACAACAAATATCATTTTGAGAGTTGTGCGTTTTTTTTTTTTTTTTTTTTTTTACTACTTGGCTATACAGTATATTAATATTTTGTTAATGTTTTCATCACTGTGTTTTCAAATGAAAATAGTTGAGTTGGAAACATTTTGACATTAAATTAACTTTACCTGAACATTTATAAAAACAACAAAAATATGTCTTTAACAATTGCACTATGAAGTTTTTGCAAAAACTGGGTGCGCAGTGCAGGGGTTAAAATACTCAATACAGTTTTACTAAAAATTAATCTGCAATTTTGCTAGGGTATTGCAATGAATTATATTTTACCCTAACAGTATCTATAAAAGTTCTCTTTGTTTTTTTTATTCAAAGATTTTGGGATCAACAGTATCTTGTACCAGCGAGGCATCTATCCCTCCGAATCCTTCACCCACAAGCGGCAATATGGCTTGACGCTCCTGATCTCCACGGATGATGCTGTAAAAGACTTCCTTGATAAAACCTTGGCACAGATCAAAGGTGAGCGTATTAACTGATGACTTTTTTTTTTTTTTTTTTTGTTTTTTTTTTTTTTTTTAATTTTATCATGACCTTGTAGAATAACATCAGGTTGTGAATAGTCATGACTACCTTTTGCCTTAAGCTCAGATATAGATTAGAATAAAGTTACTATATTTTGTAAGCATTAGTCTTGTATTGTAGCTATTTTAAAAACTATTGTGATCTTCTATATGTTGGAGATGCAATATTTAGTCATAAGATGACATTTATGCTTTCCTGCTTTTTAACCACTGTGCTGCGCCGAGTTTATTGTGAAATTCCCTCAGTGCGCATGAAATAAAGAGTTCCCGAAAAATTCTTTTTTCTTCGTAAAATGATAAATTCCCTTCCCTGAACATGTCTATGTAAAAATAAATACCGAATTCCACTTACTTTGGCTGTGGGGACGTGGACCAGGTGTGCTGTGACGTCATCAGGGCCTGGTCGTCCGTGCATGAATTGCCCAGACACAGTCGTGCGGGCCATTCAAGCACCCGGTGTTGCCACAAATGTATTTTCAATTATTTGTTTTATGTATTTCCAATGCAGTTTTATTTGTTGTTTTTATTGCATATGATGCATATTTGTGTCCTTTACAATAAGTATACAGTAGAACGTTCATATTGTTCCATGGAACTGTGATACATGTCAGTAATGTGTCCACAATAAATGTTTATTGTCGCAATATTACCTGTTAAAAATTCACTAAAATTACAATATGTACAGTTTCACACACTATTTATACAGTAACACACTGTATTACACACTCAGTGCTTCGGAAGTGAGTAATAATCAACGAAGTAGTCCATGGTACACAGCGAGACTTCGCTCACAGTGCACCAGGTACAAATAAATTTTCGCTTCCTGTTTCTTCATTTTGTGTGCTTGCAAATAACGCACTCACGTGCACCCTTGGCTTTAGTACTTGTAGATTGTATGTAGCCAAGCTTGCAAAGCATAAGGTTGTGTTGAAAAGATTATAGGAAAAGATCAGTTTGTAAGGTAGTCTTAAAAAGATCGCTTTGTATGGTCCCACACAGGAAGAGATTCAGATTACCTCAAGAGTGTCCGTCAGTCAGAAAGAGATTCAGCTAGCCTCAAAGAGTGTCCATCAGTTAGGAAGAGATTCAGGTATTCTTGAAAATATCTATGGAAAACACCACCATGGAAGCTGCTGACACTGTTCATCTATGCTATTTGTATCAGATGCATCATCACTGAACGCAGAAAACGATTCATCTATGTATCGTCTAAATAAATTGTAGATAGCATAGGATTGCAAGGGTGACGCTCAGAGCTACAACTGGATACACTCCTGTATCGTCCTCATAGGTGCTGTATCACTTGCATCTGACCTTTGTGTTAGGTCCTTATTGTGCCTAGTTTCACCAATATTATGACCCTTATGTTCTTTAAACAATAAGGTTTGAATTTCACCGACAGAGCATTATTTTTCAACACCGCGTCGGACAGGTGTTTGGGAGCCAGAGGCGCGTGCACCACTCATGGTTGCTCATTCAGTACTAACCCAGCCAGCAAGTAGCCCTAGGGCATTCTGGGAATTTTTTCCAAGATGGCTGCCTCTCACTGGAGGTCCTAAGAGTCCATTTCGTACACAACCAACCTCGTACACATTTAGAATTGGTACCGAAAAATCAAGAGTTTTCTCGGTTGGCGTAGTTTCCCGCCGACCGAGAATACTCGGTTGGGGCAGTTAAGTGGTTAAGGGTAAAATTAATACAGAAATTATTTAGAGGCTTGGTAATGCTGTGTACCAAATACATGTTAAAATTTTTACCTTTATTTTCATAAATGTATTATTGACTTCAATGACTTTGGCATAAGAAAAAGACACCAAAGTTTTTTCATTTGTGTATGCTTGCCAAGTTACTTGGAGAGTTGCATTAGTTTTTCAAATGAACATAATGTAAGGCATGTATTTAGTACTCTTAATTTAGATTGTTATTGTGACAGTGTGGCTGGAGGCAGGTGAAGTGCAGCGGCTGGTGCTGGTGGTGACCAATGTGGACACCAAGGAGGTCTTGGAGCGATGGGACTTCAACATAAAACATGAACCAGGCTTTGGACCACAGCACATCAAGGAGTAAGTAACTCGTACAGACTGGAGCTACTTTATGCCAGGTGGTGTGATGTAGTTAATAAGTTTTATAATAATTATTAATAATAATACTCATTCATTGTGCCAGGGGACAGGCAGCCAGTATATACATACAGTACTTGTATATAAATGTAACCCCCCCCCCCCTCCTTCCAGTTGAATTACTGACCCTCTCCAGGATGCAACCCCCACAACAACCTAACTCTTTAACTCTTTGGTTCCTATTTATTGCTATGTGGACAAGGGCATTAGGTGATAGAAAATGCACCCAATCATTTCTGTCCAGGCCGGGATTAGGCCGGGATTCGAACCTGAAATTCTCAATAGTCAAGAATTGAACCCGACTGTACTACCGGGACCCCTAATGTTTAGTTTTCATTCTTTTCACTGTAACCTCCAAAAATCTGAATCATAATGATCTGGATTTTCAGATAAACTAAAATTCCAAATGCTGTACTAGAAATTGTAATTTTTAGTTGAAAAGCTGTTGGAAAAACTCAAGGAAACTGGGAAACAAAACTGCATTTTGGACATCATTGGAGTCGCTGGGATTCAGAATAAGAGCTGATCTGGCAAAAATGTTCATATAATTCTTTACTTCTTATGATAGATATAGACAAGGCACATTACTGGTGCAAGACCTGAACCCTGTGGTACTCTGCTAGTAACACCTCTCCAGTCTGATATATTGCTTATTATTACCACCCTCATCTTTGTCAGAAAATGTTTTATCCATGTCGGCAGTTTGCCTGTCACCCCATCAGCATGTTCCAGTTTCCATAACAACCTCTTGTGTGGAATTGTCAAAAGCCTTATTTAGGTCCAGATAAACAGGCAACTGAACCCTCTTTCCTGTAAACTGTGGCTGTACAGTATCTAAAAAATAAGTGGATTCGTTACACAGGGTTTTCCTGTTCTATAGCATACTGTCTGTTGTATCATATCAGGTATTCTACTCATTTGGTTTAATAAATTTTTTTCTAGTGTTTTGACTATTATGCTCGTCAATGATGTGGGTATAATTTAAAGGGTCAACTCTGCTACTGTTTTTGTAAATTGGAACTTTGCCTTTTTTGCGTGTAGAGTATCCACTCGATTAAAGAATCTATATTGGGCTATATGCTACTCATTAAATCTCGGGCTCCATTTAGCTCAATGTGAACATTAGATTCACATTTGGAACCTTATGCCTGTCTTGTGTATTTAGTAAAAATGTCATCCAAATTGGCCCACATATCCACCACATCCCAGTTCTAGCAATTTCTTATGCTCGCTGGATGTTGAGCAACCGCGGACCTCTGATGTTTTTAGTGTTCTGATTGTGCTTATGGCTCTTTACTGGTTCTATTCTGCATTCCACTCCAGTATGTTTTTTACTGTGTAGATTTGGGACCTGGCCCCCCAGTATTTTCCACGTGTATATTATTTAATCTCTCCTCCTCCTTTCTAGTGAGTACATTTGGAGAGAGATGAGACGATTCCAATAATTTAGCAGCTTAATCGCGTCTATGCCGTATATGTTCTCTGTATTTCCTCCATTTCAGCAATCTCTCCCGCTTTGTAGGGGAAAGTGAGTACTGAGCATTACTCAAAACGGGACAACACAAGTGACTTGTATAGTACAATACAATCATTGTGATGGGATCCCTAGATTTGAAAGTTCTCATAATCCATTCTATCATTTTTCTGGCTGGTGCAATATTTGCATGGTTATGCTCCCTAAACGTTAGGTCGTCAGACATCATTATTCCCAAATCCTTTACTTGCTGCTTTCCTACTATGGGCAGATTTGATGGTGTTTTGTACCCTGTATTATGTTTAAGGTCCTCATTTTTACCGTACCTGATTACCTGGAATTTATCACTGATAAACATTGTTATTTTCTGTTGCCCAATCAAAAACTTTATTAATATCTGCTTCAAGTTTTTCAATGCGTTCAGCAGAGGTAATTTTCATGCTGATTTTTGTGCCTGCAAAGGATGATACGAAGCTGTGACTTGTATTTTTGTCTATATCTGATATAAGAATAAGGAAAAGTGGTGCAAGGACTGTACCCTGAGGTACAGAGCATTTGGACTCGATTTTATATGGTTGAATGTTACTCTCGTGTGTTCTGTTTGACAGGAAATTTATTATCCTGTGTCCTACTTTACCGGTTATTCCCATTGACCAGGTCCAATACTGGCAGTGGTTTTTGCTTTTGATTTTGCATGTGAAGAAATATTTTGGGTTTTTCTTTATTTCTTGAATTGCTTTCTTTTCTAGTTGCCTTTCTTCACTCTGATATGAGCTTTTCAGTTTCTGCTCGATTTCTTCAATCTCCGTTTAAATTATTCCTCCTTGTAGGGAAGGTCATGTTTGCTTAAGCATTTCAGTTATTTTTCCTGCTTTTATAATGTCGTCTGCATTGTCTCTCTACGTTGGACCTCTTTCGGGCTTTCCTCAAAGGAACATGTTTCAGACTGACTTTAAATGCTTCCAAAGTCAGTTTTTCTATTCCTTCTGTAGGATTTTTATTACTTAGAACAGTTTCTCAGGGAAGGTTTGTAAGTTCCCTGTTTATTGTCTTCCAGTCTATCCTTTTATTATTTAAATTTAATTTACTGAATAACCCCTCTCACTTGATCGTTGTTTTAGGTCTATTCTGAGTATTGATGGTAGTTAGCACTTCAGTGAGCTTGTGATCTGAGTATGTGGTATCTGAAGTCGTAATGTCCCTCATAGTTTTCATTGTTTGTGAAAACCAGATCTAAATATTTTTGTTTCTAGTTGGCTCTGATATCTGGTGGTTGAGTGAAAATTTGTCACAAAATCTAAGCAGTTCTATCTGTGGTTGGTTATGGTCCCGATAGATTTCCTGGTATATTATTATTGTTTGCTATTCTCCATCTTAGATTAGGCAAGTTGAAGTCACCTAGGAAGATATCAGGTATTGGGTTTGCCAAATTATCAAGGCTATTCTCTTGTTTTGTTATGATCTGTGAATTCCTCAGCTGTTGCATCTGGCAGTTTGTATATTAGAATAATAACTAGCCTTATTTTCTCTAGTTTTACTCTGACCATGCCTGGGAACTGAAAGGTCCTAGGCATGATTTCTATGGTAAGACAACATTTGAGAAACTTATTTTTTCACTTGATGCTTCTTCAGTAGCTGTTCCAGGGGGGACCTCAAAAGCTTGATAGGTTTCCTGTCCTGGAGTATGGAAAACCATTAGGTAAATCCTATGGCTGTAAAGGTTACCCTAGACCCCTGGATAAATTTACCTTTTAGTAATTGCATACTATGCAACGAGGCTATCATGTAGTAGGTGCCTGTGGTTATCATCGTCACAATTTGACCTTTCCCACCAGTGTTTTAAACCATGTCCGGGTAACATTGCCAAACAGAATAACAGGAAAGGAGTGGGGTTGCAAAACACTTTTCTTGACCTGTGTCGGTCAAGTGACTCAACACCCAGGTTTCTTCTACTCTGCAAGAATTTAAGATATTTGGGGTTTGGCAAATGGAAGGTGGCAAATTTGATAATTGCATTCTGAGAGTTAAGCCAAAACCAAAAAATTGGGATTTGAATTTTCTGCCCAAAACACACCAAAAACCATCAATGTTACTTCTGATAAAATGACAATGTGTAAACACTATCCATTGCCATTGACTTGTATTCAATTGATTGAATTTCCTTGTTTTACTTAAATACCTGACTAATTTCTTATAAAATTTTAAATGTAGCTAAAAAACCTTGTTTTTTTTTTCAAAAAAAATAATAAACATTTATTAGTTTGTCTAATAAAATTTAAGATGGCTCCTTAACTGGTCATAAATTCAGAATCTTTGCCATATAGGTGCTGTGTAACAGACATAATGTGTGAAGGGAGTACCATTACTTTACCAACCTAGGTCATAAAAGTATTTGTGTGTACGTCTGATACCATACTACTTGTGAAGGAGGAAATGTATATTTTTACCTCTCAAAATGTTTGGTAATGTGTTTATTTGTGATGTGTGTCTATGTATATATTAACACGTTGTACTGAATGGGGTGAGAATAGCTTGAGCTACCTCATCCCTTTGTGTGTATTTTACCTCAATAAACGTATTTCAATTTCAATTTCAATTACTTTACCATGTATAACCTATCAATTGTTTACAGGGGTAAAGTTGGAGAGAAGGACCTGAAAGTAATCCAGAATGAGATGCGTGATGTAATTCGGCAAATTACGGCTTGTGTCACCTTCTTGCCCCTATTGGATTGTGTGTGTGAGTATATTTTCTTGGCTTTTTATATATGGTGTATATACTGTACCCGAATTGTGGTCCAGAATAATGTACGAATATGAATTGGTAATCTTGGATATATAAATATAACGTAGCATAGCAAGCCACCCAGACCCAGTAAAAATTTGCCTTATGAATCTTAGATGGTTCAGTACCATGCACAAGGGTAGTGAGGCCCAATCTTAGATGGTTCAGTACCATGCACAAGGGTAGTGAGGCCCAATCTTAGATGGTTCAGTACCATGCAATAAGGGTAGTGAGGCCCAATCAGCACACTGAAACACCATTGTAAATTCTAACAGAATAGTGGAAGATGCCACAAAAATCAATCGAGTTTTTCTTCTGCTCGAGCTGAATACCATAAACATGCACGGTCCGCCAAAAACAAGGCAGAACTAAGTTCATTAATTTATTATTTAAAGTACACTGAGCCTAACAACTCCAATCATCAGGTCTGGCATTAATTACATTTGCTGTTGGCATGGAGGTAACACCCCCACCAGGGACTCCTTGTCTAGAACTACGACAAATTGTCACATCTCTAGATAAGTTATCAGCCTTTGGGTAACTAAGTTGTGTGCCCTAAGCTGTCTTGAGACCAAAGTCGGAGCAAAGTTTGATAGAAATAATAGCACGTTTCTATAATTTAGAGGTGTAAGCAATTAACAAATAACACTACCCAGATACAAAAACTGGTGCATAGTGTAATGCATCATCGGAACGACTGAAGCAAAACCATGGGCAAATCTAGAACGTGTCATGGGACTGGTATTTAAACATTTTGTACACTAGTTTATTGGTTCACCCCCACAACCATTATGGAATGCAAATAAAACACATGATATTGACATCAGTATAGGGGTCTGTTATGGTATTATCAGTGTGTGCGCTCCAAGTGCAGTACAGTATCCCAATTCTTAACAGTATTAGATTTGTCTCGAGTTTCTCTTGGCAAGTTGATAAGAAATGTTGAGAGTTATGTAAAGACTGAAAAAAGTGGTGTATGGAGAAATGGATAATATAAACTTAGTGTACAGACGGCCACATGCTTTGCGAACTTAAGTTATCTGAAGGTTCCAGTTTCACGATTGGGGTTGGTTTGGTTACTTAAGTTCGGGAAGCGTGTGGTTTGCATAAAATAGTTTGGGAAATTTTTATATTCATTGGGCAAGTGTGTGCCAGGCCTTGCGCTGGCCCAGGGTGGTGGGTGGGAGATGGCCTAGTTTGCCCACTGACCGTGTCGGACACCACTCTAGTGTCTTCTACCCTGTGACGTCAGATTTATACACCCATTGTTCCCATTGTTTTGATTTGTCACGAGACTGAAGTGTTCATTCTGTGACTTTGTTGGATACATCTGCACAATCTAGGAACATCCGTGCACCATGACAGCTCCAAACATTGTTGATGCATCAACAAGCTGGATATGTAAAAGAAAGAGGTCAGTGATGACATTTGAGAAGAAAGTTGAAATAATTAAGAAGGTGGAGAGTGGAGTCCCGAGAAGTGTCTTGTGCACTGAATATGGCATTAGCAAGAGTACTGTTTTTGATCTTCTTAAGGCTAAACCTATAAATTTTTACTATTTCTCTTAGAAGTGAAAGTGATAAGGCAATACGAAATAGAAAGGTAGTAAATAAAGCAAAAGTGGAGTGTGTTGATAATGCTGTGTAGGAGTGGTGCAAACAGAAGCATGAGGTGACGAAGAAGCCAGTGGCAGGCTGGTTGCTCGTGAAAAAGGCATGTGAATTTCACCAAGCAATGAAAATTCCTGAGAAGTGTGTATATACAGTGATGGATGGCTCAGAAGCTTTAAAACCTGCCATGGCATTAGGTCCATTTACGGTACATGGTAAAAGTCAGTCCACTGACACTACTGGGGGTGACGAGTATTCCGGTAAATTTACGGAGATGGTGCAGGAACTAAATTTATCTCCAGAGCAAATTTACATTGCTGACGAGACATGTTTGTGCTGGCGTATGTTACCTGCAGACACAATGGCTCATAGTGGTGAAGACGATCCTTCAGGTGGTTATAAGCAGAGCAGAATTTTTTTGTGCTGTGCAAATGCATCTGAGGTGATGAGCCTCGTGGCTCATCACCTCAGCAATATCATTGGAATGGTGTTTAAGGTTCTTAAATGGCAATATCATTGGAATGTTCTTACCACCAAATACAACTTTACTGATCCAACCAATGGATAATTAAGAACCTTAAACACCACTACAAGAGGATGTTTGCCAGATGTCTTATTAATGAGCCAGGAACACTTAAGGACTTAAATAAAGTCTTCACAATAAAGTCAGCTATCTGAACTATTGCTAGTGCATGGGATAAGGTAAAGCAAACACTAAGAAATGGTTGGAAAAAAACTTTGGATCACGTCAAGTCTGTTTCCTGAGGAAGATGACGAGACAGATTTTGAAGGATTTGCGGCGAAGAAAGTTAGCGAGAGGAAAAAATTGAGAGCAACTCCTAGCCTATGTCAAGGGTATTAAGTCCCCAGAACTGAGAGCAGAACTGGTGACTGAAGCAATAGATGACATAGATAGGTGGATAGATTATGACACAGCAGCCCCAACCATTCAAAACATGACTGATGAAATTATAGAATTATGTACAGCAAAAAAGCCAGAAGAGTGCAATGAAGATGGTGTGGAAGGGGAAGAGGATGAAGAAGTATTAGAGAAATGTAATTTGGAACAGATTCAGAAATATTTTGAAGGCATTCTGGCATTTATGGAAAAGAGTAACAGTGAGTTTGAAATTAAGGACATGATGAGTCGGTACAATTTGTATATGAAGTTTTTAAAAACAATATCAAAGATAATTGATATTGTTGAAACATTGAAACAAATATCAATTAAAGAGTATTTTGCAAAAACTTCCAAGAAAGCTGGCATTGCCTCGCCTGCACCTGACTCATCACATGTTGACCCAAATGCTTCAACATCTTAGGTTATCTTATCACCATTAATCTCCACTTCAGTCAACCCAACACCATCAACATCCACCACCACCACCTCTTCCATGTAAATAACTATTTTCCATCATTATAACAAGTGGATTAAGACTTCTCTTATTGGTGAGTACTAACAAAATACTGTTGCATTAATGCTATGAATCTGTCGATCCCCCCCCCCCCCCCCACCCACCTAAAAACTCCTGTTTGTTACAACTCCTCCCCAGCACCCTAAAAACTCCTGTTTGTTGTAGAAACCCCTTTCTCCTGTTACATTCCTCGTTTACAAATTTACACGATAACAGACGGGTCTCATCCCCGAAGGGTTCGCAAAGCACGTGGTCTTCTGTATTTGGAGATATTTTATAAAATGTCCTCTAATATATCTAATGTAATATTTTCTTGTTTCAGGTGCATTTGACTTGTTAGTTTATACTCACGAGAGTGCTGATGTGCCAGACAAGTGGGCAGAGTCTGCTCCATGCTTTATTGCCAACTCTCAAGAAGTTCGCTTGAAATCTTTCTCTACTTCTGTCCACAAGGTGGAAGCATGTGTTAGCTACAAAACCGATACATGAAAATGTGATTTTCCTCCCATGAGAAATCAGCAATGGTCAGTCATTACTGGTATACCTCCAGTTACATGAAATGGATAGGTTGACAGCACATTATTTTGAATTAATTCAGTGTAGTGGTGTCTTCATAAAAGTCAGTTTGCTGGCTGATGATTTTTAAATGGTTAACTGTAATTTAAAAATTTTCTCAATTAGGCTTTCTTTCAGAGACTTTATAAACCTCTAAATATATTTAGTGATGCCATGCTGGATTATTCTGTAACTGATTGCATGCACATGTACAGGTATAAAGCAATCTCAACTTTTCCTTGCAAATTAGAACAAAGAATGTTACTGTATTTTACAGATATGCAATGAATGTGAATATTGATGTGATCAGCCTCTTATGTCCATTTCAGGGTTTTATTTACAGATAAAAGCTTACCTGTTTTATGAGCAAACTCTCCCCTCTTCTGTATGATTGGTTATGATGTATTTCGGCTAGTAATCAAACTTTGATGTATTTCTTGGTGGTTTCTTCCATTGAAGTGACTTCCATCCCCAGCCACTTCCATAGAAGTGGCTGGGGATGAGGAGGGATATACATTGCTTTACATTATTTGTTTTAACCTAATTTAGGTGGAACAATAATAGATAGTTGTATTTTTGTACCTTATTGGGCTATTTAGCAAAACATGTGTCAACTGATGTTTGTTCTGAAAAATACATCGGCATAATATTATTTTTGTGAAGTGGAGACAGTTCGATACTGTCCCATAGGGAAAATTCTGTTTTGCTTGTGAGAAATAGTTTTGTGTAGTAGACTGCTGAAACAAGTCGATTAAGTTTTCACACATTCCTGTTTAATGTTAACCATTTTCTTTGATATACACTTCTTCAGTTGTAGAGTATGCAGAATGTTCGGCCTGGATGCTGTTTGTGGTGCTCTGCTTATTCAAAGTTATCAGCTTTTGAAAGATCTATGCAATTCAAACAAGATGGAAAGGAAATACAAATCTGAATGTTAGTGAAAGTTTCTTAATGTGTGACACGTATGTACTGGAAGCAGTTCAGGTTGATAGTGTAGGCACAGATGTCATAGGGGAGGGTGACTGGTGAAAGTAATGTAAATGTCTGATAAATGTCTGAATGGCAAGTTATTAGGTTATTGTATTTTGGCTGTAGTGTGACAGGGAGCATTGTTGCGACGTGTGGCCAAGGGGTAGGTGTCCTTATATCTTTGTGGTGTTGGTAGATTTGTCAACTAGTTTACATAGTACAGGCAAGAGTAACAAGTGTTTGGGTACAAGATGGTGTCTTGATGGTAATACTATGCCTTGTTAATATTTCTTACATGTACATAGCTTACTCAAAGCCACTTACCAAAATGATTGTGTAGCTTTTATTGTTGATGGGCTTTTGATGATGTATGGTATAACCTTGATGGCATTCAGAACAATGCTTACAATTCTATTTAAACACAATATCAATCATAGACAGGTCAAAAGATAACATATATGGCAGCCATTTTAAATTTTAACACTTTCTGTATACAGTACATCATTCCTTTTCTAACAAAACCTATATTTAGTTTCACACCAATAATGGTGGACCATTAGGTAGATATGTTAATTTGTCATTTTTCAATGTGCAATATATTAACTTCATTGGTAATTTTACTAGTTCTTGAGACAATGACTAAGTACAGCTTTTTTCTTAGTAATTTCACACTTGAGAAACCCTACGAATGTTTCATAGGGTTTGCGCCTTCAATCCCGATAGCTGTCACGAAGCCTGCATCATGGTCTAGCTGCAGCTGTGCTTGCTAGTTCTTTGGTTTGTGATTTTTGTAACATGGAATGTATAGAAAGATTAATTTTGGCAAATAATGGTGGCCTTAGTATATTGAGTATCATGGTAATATATATATATTTTATATGTACTCTTGTGGGTCTTCTATAGAAAGTGTCATGTAAACAACTGATATTTAATCTATTTTTAACTAGAGTATAGCATGACACGTTATAATAGCCATTCCACTGCTGCTACCTTGAGGCACACGTGCCACTCTGCCCCCTCAGTCTAGCGTTGCGTGCCGCCCCGCCCCCTCAGTCTAGTGCTGTGTCAATGCAAACTCTAGTTTTCTTGGGCAGCATTACTAGTAATATACTGTCTTATTACCTAGTTTCAATTCCATTTTTTATCACTTTTTTTCACTAGTTTTGTTAATTTTTTTTTTTGTGATGTGCAGCACAATACAGGACTTTTAATTAGCCGAGGTGTTTAAGTGTTATGCTGTCTTTCAGCGTTGATATGCAGGCACACAATACAGTGTTAACATTCCTATTATATTAAGGCATTAAAAGCACAGATGTGCTCACTTATAAAACCAGAATAATTATAAGCTTCCCATGCCTATTATGGTTTATAACACTGAAGCAACATTATTTTTCCAACTGAGGGAAGATGTTTCATCAAAGACATTAGTGTGTTTACCATTAACTTTGTTTTATAGTTATTAGTACTTTACTGTAGATATTTTATACTTTAATTAAAAATACTTCTAAATTTGTTTTCCTTTATCTATTGACAATAACAGCCCACTGAACTTGGATTTTGAACTCTAGTAGTTAAAATAGTCCAAAGTACGGTACTTTTCAAGTAACTTCCTGTGCAATATACTGTACTTGACCTGTGAAACACATTTGTAAAGGTACTCCTAAAAATGAGTTAAACAAACCTTTCCTAAAATAAGGTGGAATTAAATAATCGAACTGAAAACAAAATATTAACAATAAAACGATGACTAATACAGAGAATAGGAAGATAGTGGAACAAAATAAAATAAAATTCCTGGATGAGTGAATACCACAGCAGCTGAAGAGAAACTGCATCATCCTCTGGAAAGAGGAGTTAAGGGAGATAGACAGAGCAAGAGCCCATTCTTTTAATTTTGACTTGCTCTGTCTGTATCTCTTATCTTCTTTTTTTTTTTTTCCCAGAGTTTCTCTTAAGTCGCTGTGTTGTTCACTCCTCCGAGGAATTTGTTTTTGTTCCACTATCTTCCTATTCTCTGTATTAGTCATTGTTAATACTTTCTACTATGCTTAAAATCGTAGACTAACAAACCCAAAGTTCCTGACAACACTGGATGATAAATATTTGCTTTCAATTGACTGAAGATATTGCTCATTAATGACGTTTGAGTGATTTTAATTTATTGAAGTGTGAACATTTATTCTTTATAATAACTATTAACGTCCAGGATGACATTGCTCGGAATATTATTCTGCACGAGAGACATTCTCAACGATCACCACGTGACGCCAGATGGGTCCTCGGCGCTCCTCTCGTCTTCAAAACAAGACTTCCCATCACCTTCCTCGCTCTTCCTTTCCCCAAAGTACTCCTCGAGTACTCGTCTCAAGACGAGTCTTGTAGGATGTCGGGTTCCCAGCGCCTTCCTACACGTCCTCTACAGCTCCAATCTCTTCGATTGTCTGTCAGAGCTGTATGTTTACCTTGAGATTTATAAACTTGTAACTGTCTTATTGTAACCTCCACCTCAGACAGTAAGGAAGGCAACGAAGACCGTCTTGGGGTACTAAAGAACATCTACAATGACGGGATAACATAACACGACAATGCCTCTCACCACATCAAGTCTGTCACGTGACACCAGCCTCTGATGTTGATGCCTCTTGTAGGTCTTGCCTCTCAAGTCTTCCTACTTGGGAACCGGTACACTTATTTATTTATATATACATAAGAAAATACATTCGGTTTATGAGAGTACATACCATTGATGTTTTACATTCTTGTAAAGCCACAGCACGCATAGTGTTTCAGGCAGTTCCTTAATTTAAGAAATAATTCTAAGTAGGTAATTTCTAGTAAAATTGAAGAAATGTTTACAGGTTCATTGTAAGAAAGTATAAAAAATACATTGTATAAAAATTTGACAAGATTAGCAGGTACATTAAAATAAATTTAAGGATTATCCACAGGTACATTGTAGCATAATTTGAGGATTATTTCAAGGTATAATGCAGTAAGCTATGCGTTCAATATAATATACACTGAACATTGCTGCCTTCAACACTGCCAGTGTATCCTCAGGATGGATATTGGGTCAACAACTAGTCACTTGATGTGTATGAGGTCCACTACTGCCCACATCTGTGCAGTAGTGGACCCCATACCCATCCTATGGGTAGTAGTGGACCTCCATTCCCATCCTATGGGTGGTAGAGGACCCCCCCATACCCATCCAGCAGGTGGTAGTGAGCCCCATACCCATCCTGTGGGCAGTAGTGGACCCCCCATACCCATCCTGTGGGCAGTAGTGGACCCCCCATACCCATCCAACAGGTGGAATCGGACCCCTATCCTGTTGGGTGGTAGTGGACCTCGTAAACATCGTGTGACTTGTTGTGGACCCTGTTTTGTCCACAATAGCATTCTATGTGGCGAAATGGTAAGACACTCGCCTGGCGTTTTACGAGTGCTTTGGCCTGGGTTCGTATCCTGTCTGGTGAGGATTTACTTGGCGTCAATTCTTAACTGTAGCCTCTGTTTACCCAACAGTAAAACTAGTACCCGGTTGTTTAACAATTAGTTTACCACCAAATGCTGCAAATGAGGGGCTCAACAGTTTGATGACTTACCACCTTACTTACGGTTGGAAGCTTACCACCAAGTGCTGTCGGGTCGTTGGGGATATAACCTCGGCTGCCAATGACTTGCACAGTCACGGTGGGTCGAGTGGTTAAGGTACCGGGTATGCCATGGTGCATAGTGCTCCTGGCTGTTTTGGTTCGAATCCTCCTGGGGTGTGGAGTTTTCAGTTGCATATTTGCTTGAGGACCATTGAAGCTTGTTCGTAAATAAATATATATATAAATCATAGGAACTATTAACATTACGTGACATAAGTACTATGGTATCCTGAGGACAGGTTGGCTAGTTCAGAGAATATTGAATAGTTCGTTTACATAGTTGGGCGAGTTCTTTCAGTGGGTGCCGAGACTTGGTCTCCACTGATGCCAAAGCAGTTATTTCAACTCAATGGTTGCCTTTCCCGGTGAGGTGGGGAAAATAAATGTCGCCACTCTCTGCACCTCTGTACGGGAGCCAGCTTCTGGCACTAGTCCCCACTAGGCCTATACAACTTGATGGCTGATGCAATCCAATAGATAGTAGTGCATCAGCACTATACATAGTAGTTTCAGGCAGGCACACAGGGTTTTCCCAGTAAAATAAGATAGTGATTGATGAGTGTGCTTTATAAAATGGGCAATAGAAGAAATATGTATAGAATATAGTTAAATTTATTCATTATCTTTTAAGGCTCTTACTGTGATAAGAGTGAAATGAATAATTCAGTTTGAAATATTCCCACTAGTCTAAATCTTGTACTGTCCAGTGGATGCCCAGCTACCTGTACTAATTGACAGCCAACTTAGGGTAAGAAATAGGAATAATCGAGATTGTGTCGACTGTCCAAACAGTGGTTCAGTTAGAGTCTTCAGATTATGGTACCAGTCAACTTTTTTTTTTTTTTTTTTTGTTAAGCCAGATAATTTGGATAATGGGGTGAGCAGCCACTGTACAAGTGGGAAAACTCATTTAGTCAAGGATTTTATTGTTTTATTTACTATTTTAAGACATGGTGTATTAAAATAACGGTTCACCAATCAAACCTCGAGTTTGCTTTTAAAGTCTTGGAATAACCAGATATAATTTCTCTGCACAGTATTCCACCACTATCCAGGAACATTCATCTTGGTGAGCAAACCACACCCTCCATCTACACAGTTCTTCGCTAGCTTGATATATAGATATTTACAAATATAGACTTAATATAAATGCATATTTTCTAATTCTAAAAACAATTTTTTAAGACTAGAAACTTTGTAAATCACATGTTCAAAGAAGACCAACAAAGTATAACAATTGCTCTGTTTCAGAGCAATTGGAATTTGCAGCTGGAGATATCTCAATAAAAAAAAGCATTCAAAGTTATTATGTGCTATACAGATAGAATCATAGACTTAGGCTTACCTGGATTTTAACACAAGTCTGGACACTAGTAACTATACAGTTGCTTTCTTTTCTGCAAAGAATATTGACTCTAAGAATATTCTGCAAGCAGGGATTACAATACTGTATAACAAAGAGGCAGTCTCAAGACAAAGAAAGTGATTCTTGTGTACAAATATATTAACATGACAATCTGTCAACATCTTAGAACTGATATTGAACATGCAATGTAATCAATCTATGCTTGATACATGTTCCAACAAATCATACATATTTATAAATTAGTAATAGTATAATTTGAGAGAAATCTTTAGAGTCTAAAGTAAGATGTTGAAAAGGAATGTTGTCTATTTGAATCTTATTTTCTGGGAAGACTGAACACAAGATTCCAGGTGATGGGTCAGCGTTACAGTAAGAGGCAATGATCAACAAACAGAAAAATATAAATAACCCAAGAACATCATTCTAACTGAAAAATGGGTCCAGAGTTACACTTACTGTAACTAAAGGCAAATGACATTCATAACTCCATGAAGAAAGCATAAGTTTCTTGAGCATGCTGGTTGAAATTAAGAACCAACAGCCATCAGCTATACTGTAAACACAAACTTGGATAACCATTGTAGTTAGTGAAGGTTCCAGCTCTGCTCAGCATCAATGCTGCTAATGTAGCACTAAAGTTCCTGGCCGCAGTATGTTTGTACACATACAGAGGAGGAGGAGAGTACAAAAATAGGAAGACTAGTGCACTGCAGGAAGACCTTGACATACTGCACCTGTAGGCAGACATTGCTGCTAAGTTTCAACTCTAGCAAGTGTAAGATAATGATGAGAAGAGAAGGTAACATAGCTACACCATTAGAGTGTAGACAACTACTGGTATCAGACCAAGAAAGGGACTCTGAAGCAGACATAATACCAGCACTGACACTAGAAGTGTCTGTCAGGAGGATAACACTGGCACATAATGCGCACCACTACCTTAGAATCCATATCTAGTGAACGGTTAAGGGAACTAAATCTAACTCAGAGAGGATATGATTATGTACATAATAAGGGAAATAAGATAAGGTGGATACAGATAGCCTTTTCAAATTGAGGGCAAGTACAAAAGGACAATGTGCGTAGAAGCCTAAAAATGCAAACGAGTCAGAATACAAAAAACACTTGTATATATAATAAAGGTAGTAAACTAGTGGAATGCAGCTTCAAGAGCAATTTTAACAATATGACAAAGAAATAGAATGTCAAGTAATTTAAGCATGCTAAGTACAAATAACTAGGAGGCAGGTCAAAGGAGCTCTCATTCCCCCTAGACTTTGTATGTACCAATACAAATAGGTATTGGTATGCATACATACCTAAATAGACAGATACAGTATGCCCAATAGTGAATGCAGTAAACCTGCTGACCACATACATTTCAGCATAATCTTGCATTTGACTACAGCATTAAAATTATAAATAATGGTGCATTACATACATGAAACAAGGTGAAATACTACTACAGATGACAGAAATGAATA